GAAAGATGCAGGCTTCTCAAAAGCAACCAGGGAAATTCCCGTGGCCTGCTGTAGGAGCCAGCCTTCCAGGTGGCTCCCTGTGATCCCCACACCTCCCGGTACTCATATGCTGTGCCCTGCTCTTCTACACTGGACCAGCGTTGGTCTCTGTGACAGACAGCACCCAGCACAAGCGCTGTTATCTCACTTCCTCACATTCAACATCCCAAAGACCGGTTTCTGTGTTGGGCTCTTCCTGTCAGGTCGTCACTCCGTGGGAAGCCAGCTGCCATGTCATGAGGACACTCAGGCAGCCTATGGAGGGGCGTTCCGCAGTGACCAACAGTGAGAACTGACGCCTGCCAGCAACCACGTGAACGAGCTGGGAAGTGGATCCTCCCCCAGCGCATCCTGGGACGACTGCAGCCCAGTCAACGGCGTGGGTGCCTCAGGAGAGACCCTGCACCAGCTCTATTCAGCTAAGCTGCTCCTGGATTCCTGACCCTTGGGAAACCGCGTGAAATAGTTAATGTTTGCATATGTCTGTTGCTTAAAGGTGCTAAGTTGGGGGGTAATTTGTTATGCAGCAATAGTTAGCTAGTACAGCTGCCTTTGCAGTTGACATCTGAGCCGAGGCTAGAATAAAAAAAGAATCTGTCAATGATGAAGAGACCTCAGGGAAGAAGGTTCCAGGCAGAGAGGATATCAAGTATAAAGACTCTAAGAAGGGTCTTGGGGTGTCACTGCAACAGCTAAAAGGCCCACGTGGTTGGAATCCTGTTGGTAAAGCACAACCAAGTGGTTAGAAAAAAGTGAAATTTTCCTCTAAAGAAAGATGGGAAATAGCATCACCTAACTTATGTTTTACAAAGAATAATCTTTATAAACTACTGAGCTACTTACCTCCCCTTACTGGGAGGTAAGGGTGGAAGCAGGAAACCAGGTAGAAGCCTGCTGCAAATCAGCCCAGTCAAGAGATGACAGTGAGTCAGACAAGGATGTTAGAAATAGAAATATCACAGATTGGTAAGATTCAGGATATATATTTTGAAAGTAGAGTCAGCACAACTACATGAAAAGCATCCTTTAGTCTACACCATGCCAGTAGGTTTTTGAGTGACTGGGATAACACCGGAACAGACCTACAAAGAGGAGAAATGAGATATGATTGAATGACTCTTCCCTTTACAAGATAATTAAGCAGTCAGTAGAAATGTTCTTTTTGGTGTCTGTTCCGATTGGTGCCAACCAGACTGATTGGAAAAAAAAAAGTAAGCAATCAACTAGTGAAGTTAAAAAAAAAAAAGTTAATAAAACAGAGATGAAGAAAACCAAAAATACTGCCAGATTTTCTTTCCACATCAACATATTTCCAAAGGAACAAAGTCAATGACAAGGAGTATTTCTTTAAGTTAAAGAACAAATACATGGTAACTGGCCAATTATTTCCTGGTTTCATAGAGTGTCAGAGTTTCACTCACAGGGCTTAACAAGAATCTACATGTTCCTACTCTAAAATTTTTCTGAGCAGACATTGTTCACAAATAGCACAGAAATGAACTTGTTGAAAAAACCTCTGTCTTCTTACTGCTTCTTCCTATTGTATGCACAAAAAGCATGGCAGGACAACTCACAGGAAAAACCCATTTCCAAATCAAGGTCATATTTGTGTATCTAGGAAACAGCCTTCAGCTTCCCTTTTTCAGTAAAAAATCCTGATATTCTCAAGCTGAGACATGAAGAATCAAGCTTTGAAAAGTAGAAACTGCTATCAGGATTACCCTCTAAAGACGACCAGCACAATTATTAACTGACCAGTCACACACACACACACATATATACAATCATACACATACAATCTCATATTATATGAAAGGAATTAATAAATAAGCAACTTAAAAAATAAAAGTGTTTTAAAGAAATGCTTAAAATTACACAAGTCCTTAAAAAGACAGAAAGACCAACAAACAGATAGACAGGGCATCTGTCTCCATAAATTTTCCTTAATTTTTTCCTAAGGCCTTGTGTATAAAAATATATAGCTGCCAAAGGACCTTCAAGTAATTACTAATGGCATAATTTTTTCGTTTAATTTTTTAAAGAAAAGAATCCCAGTGAATATATAATGTTTTTCTAAAAAGCCAAACATTACATACACCTACGAGAAGTCTACAAAAAATTTTAAATATAAAAGCCTATCCACGGATCCATGTTCTAAATTGTTCTAGTTTTTTTAACCCACATAAATTAGTGTATAATAGTAATCCTATATTTTATCCCATCAGCTTTTGCTGCTAAAAGCAGAATATTAAATGTTGAAGTACTCTGGTAAAGAAATTTCACTTATTCTATGTCACTGAAAGAGTGGTCATAAAATCCAATAGAAAACCCTTTAGCTTTAAAGGATACTTCATTTACATTCTATCTTTCAATGCCAACACCTGTAAAATTATTATATCCCACAAGAAAGCCTGTGGACAGCAGGTGCTTCAGAAAAAATTTGTTGAATAAAAGAACACATTTACGTATTATCTTTTGTTTATAATTTATGCTATGTGCCTTTCCACTATGAACTCATTCTTTTCTAGAGAAAACCCAAATATGACTAAAATTACATTATTTAATGTTATTCTTTTTAAAAAGTCTATGTCACATCACTGTAAAGTGATTCTGTGAATGAATGCTTTCTTATCTCCCACTCTACCAGTTTTGAAACTGACTATGGTAGATGGGATCATCGTTCTGAATTCTTCACCCCTCACTACTGTAATTATACACCCACACCCTGCCATCCACACAGTAGTGCCTACCACTGTGGGAAGAGTATTATTCCATGCCCCAACCCACAATGGGACCATGTGTCTTGTTTGTCCAACAGGACGACAAAAATGGCAATAAGCCAGCTCCAAGCTTGTCTGCACCTAGGTCCCGGCAGGTCAGGCCCAGCCAAGCCCAGTCTACAATGGTCAAACCACAGGCAAATTACAGACCCATGATCATGAATATGCTTGTTCTTATAAGTTGCTGAGATTCTGAAATTGATACAAAACAAAAACTACTGTGCTGATGCTCAGCATCTTTATATCGCTACTCATGTAACATTAGCTGCATCAAACCACGCTTCTCTGATTTACCTATCCTAAATCAATACTAGTGATTTTCTTTGGCTATCTTCTATTTCAGAAAACAGAATAAGAAATCCTTCCAATAAAGGAATATTTAAAGAAAAAACTGTCACAGAAAGACATTCATTCTGTGAAGTCTAATTTTTAGAAATAAACTATATTATATTGAATAAAATATATTTGAAGAAATCCAAATTATAATTTTGTAACCTCAGATGTTTCTACAATTTACCAAGCAGTTGTCTAAGTGAACTGAAAGTAAGACATGTCCCCAGCTGTCTGATGTACTCCAGAACCACTTATTTGGTTTTTTGAGCAGTTCCTGAATAGCTTCCCTTCAAAAACTCACAGGTGTAAACTAAGCAGTGTTGTAATACATGTAATCTTAATCGAGAAGTTCATGAATCAGTCCCAGGAAAATCACTGCCTCTTTAGCCATTTGTATATAATAAAGCAAAACTATACAGTGAAAACTGTGTATTAATAAATTGCTGAGAATGAGTCACTACCTGTAATTCTTATTTTCATTATTGTTCACTGTAAGCTAGCATCTCAGAATTTTAAAATGACAAAATTTTAGCTCAGAAAGAATCTTAAGGCTAGTTCAGCCACCTACCAGACATCTGAGTGAACTCCACAACATTGCTCCCAAATGCTTAGTCATCCTCTGGACTCCTCTGGTGAGGGGCAGTGTTCCCAAATCAGGGGGATTGTGAACATGTCTCAGGAAATTAACTCAGCAAAAGGCAGTAATCTGGCCTGTTGTAATTTCCACTTTTAAAATAAATTAATTGATTACTTTAAAAATGACCCTTTTACACAATACAGATGGAAAAAGAATGTATCAAAGGAGCGGGAATGACGGTGAACAGAGAAAAGATAAGCCAGTTCACATCTGGGCAGATCCTTGGGCAGCTTATCCTCTGCTGAACGACATCAATACTTGCATTTTGAACGTTAAGTTTTCGTTGTTTTTATTTTTGGTCATATTACAAAATATGGACTGATGGTAGTCCGGTGCATACAGACAGGATGCATGAGGATACAAATTAGCACTAGTAGAGGAGAAATAATGAGATAATGATTTTGCAAATGCACTCAGAATAGTCCTTAAGTAGCACTGTCTTACTCAAAATAGTCATCAAGCACATCAAGAAGCAGCCAACCCTCTGAAAAAAAAAGTCAGAAGAACTAGAGTGCTCATAGCAGCAGGACCTATTACCCAAACGTCCATCAAAAGTAGAATGGATAAACTGTGATAGACTGACAGGACGGCACACTAAAAGAAACGAACAATCTATAACTGCATGTAACAGCTTGGAGGAATCTCACAAGCGATGCTAAGCAAAAGTAGTCAGAAACAAAAGTCTATGTTGTTTGATCTTGCTTATGTAAAGTACAAAACCAGACAAAATCAACCCATGGCAATTATCCTTGGTGG